CCAGGTCGAGGCTGCGGTGTCCAGGAGCGTGCCACTGCACTCCAGTCTGGGCAACAGAGTGAGACTCCAACTCAAAAAAAAAAAAAAAAAAAAATGCAAAGCACTATACAAGTGTAGAGGTTTTAATAACAAAAAGACTTGTCTTTTTAAATATATATAATAATGTGTGTTTATATCTCAGAAATAATAAAATACAGATAAGCATGAAGAAAAGTAATCACTTGTAATATAATTTAGCAGTGTAATCCAGATTTATTTCAATATATATATTTTTTGAGTTGGAGTCTCACTCCATTGCCCAGGTGCAGTGGCATGCTCACGGCCACCCCAGCATCAGCCTGCTGGATTTGGCGATTCTCTGCCTCAGCCTTCTAAGTAGCCAGAACTACAGGCACGTGCTATCGTGCCCAGCTAATTTTTTATTTATTGTAGCAACGAGTTGTCATCAAGTTGCCCAGGCTTGTCTTGAACCCGCAGGCTCAGGCAATACATTTTTTAAAGTAGCAGCTGAATTGAGCACTTGTCAAAATTTTATCTATAGCCATCCATACATATAATCAATCAAGAAACTGGCTCCTCAAGATATTTTGTGGAAGGCTGTTGATACAAAATCAGAGAAAGCAACATTAGGTTGTTTGCCAAATATGATATTAGTTGCCGTAGCTTGGTTAGTCACTGTCTTTGAGTTCAGATCTGAAGGTCAAAGCTTCCATTTAGATTCACCCTTCCAACAAACTATTCCTGAGTTAATTCTAATTCATTGTTGTAAGCCACAGAATCCCTTTAGCTATTTGGAGCAGAAAGGAATTATTCTAGGTACCAAGAAGCTCACAGAATCACTGGGAAGGCAAGAGAACCAAGCTCAGAAGTTTCATAACTAGAAACAAGGCATCCACGGTTAAAGTCAACAGAAGAAACACGCACTCACACCACCTGACTATTCTGGAAGAACTGCCCATTGGTTTTGCCCATGAGGATCAGTACCTACACCTAGATTTAAGACATTTCACGAAAACTGTCTCCAAAGAATCAGACACCTCTACCAACATACTCGTCACATGGGGCTGCTCCCTTCTGTCTTTAAGTTTGCTCTATTGAAACAAATTCCAGGAAGAAACTTAGATTCAAGGGAATCTAGAAATAAAACGACTTTTGTTTTGTTTTGTTTTAATTTTTCAGGTTCCACAAGTTCAGGAAAGATAGTATTATAGGCACATGGCATAAACAGAATGTATGAAGGCTGAGTGGCTGGAAGGAGATGAGGGAATTGAGACGAGTACAGTGTGGCTGGATCAGAGACAGCAAGGAAGAGACTGACCTTGGATGCAGCAAAGGAGGTGAGAATTCAACAAAAGTTCAATAAATAAATAAATGTATCCAACTGCTACTGGGCAGTACCTAGGCTTTCTAATCTTTTTTACACTGAATTCTGTGACTCCAAAAGATCCAGCATATCTCCGCATTTTTAGAAAAGAAAAAAAAAAGTGAGACCAGTGTGGTAAGCTGTCCTAGACTCATCACATTATGGTTCTGATTTACATGAACACTTTAGAATGAATCACTTTTGTGGATGCTGTGGATTCTACAAGGAGAAAAACAGAATGGACCCAATATCTGACACCTGAAAGTAAAATGGGAAAGACTAACAGAATAATTTAGTATAATTAAAATTAAGCAGATGGTTCCTTTCTTCTCTTCCCTATGTGACCTTTGAGATAACATTTTGTCTTGATGAATAAACAGAAATCATAAGAACTTTGCCTAAAGCTCCTTTTCAAAACCATGAGAAGTGCACAAAGTGCTTATATCAGCAATACTATAATTTGTTCTTTAATATATATTTATATTTTAACCAGGTGCAAAAAAATTAAACTGCCCTATTTCTGTCAAAAGAAAAATGTGATTATATTTCATCTATTTACAACAGAAAGAATCCTCAAAATTGCCCAACCGATATCTAATATGTTTTTGAACCTTTCAAATAGTTATATTATTATATATTCCAAAGTGATGGCTATAGTCATATATTAATTGATATATATACCTTTTAAATCTATTAATAAAATGTGTTACTGTTCAAACACATTCAGTGATGAGCAAGAGCCACGATGAAGAAAATTAAGTAGCCTTTCTGGACTACTTGGGAATAGAGCCAATGTCCCATTATTTACAATTGTTTTAAAGTAGACGGTTTATTTCTCTATTATTTGAAGTGTGTTTTCATAGTCATGTAGCAAGTACTTGAACCTCAAACACTGTCCTTGACATTCACGAAACAGCCTTAATGCAAAATCTCTTTATCTCATCTGCTTCTCTCCCAGGTCAATGGGCAAAGCATAAAGCTTCCAGTGCTGGGCTAATAATCCCTCTATCTGTCCTCTGAATCTCACTGCCTCCTGCTTTTTAAGGAACTTCACTTAATTATCACTGCACTCTCACATCTGCAAGCTTATCCTACCCACTAAATCTTTCCCTCATCATATATAACCATGCTCAATTCTTTCTCATGGTAAAAACCATCAAATAATAAAATAGCAAATAATAAAACAACCCTTCAAATATGTCTGTCTCCGTCTATAAATCCTTGTCTTCTTTTTTTCTTAACATCATGTATTTTGGTGTTAACTGGCTCTTTTTTTCTCACCTCTCCTTCATCTCCACTGCAGTCTGGCTTCTGCCCATATACTCCGATAAAACTGCACCCAGTGACCTCCTAGTTGCTGTATACAGTAAGCACTTTTCAGGTTGAATTGACCTCTCAGCAGCATTTGACATTGTTAATCAGAAACTTCTTGAAGAAGATGGAAACACAAGGAGGAATAAGTCGTGTTTCTAGAATCACCACATGGAAGGGCACCTACCTAACATGCAATTAAACTATTATGCATGGAAGAAACAAACCTGCATTGTGCTAAACTACTGGGATTTAGGAAACTGCTACAGCAACTAGCACTATTTACCCGAATAAACACACGACTCTCCTCAGGTCATTCCTGATCTAGTTTCCCCATTAGCCTCAACTGCCATCCTTTTCCCTGTGAACCCCATGCCCTTCATAAACCCCTTTACGTGCGTGTATGCAGGTGGGTGCTATTGTCTGTGCTGCTCTTAATTCCTTTCTCCTGATTGTTTATTGACATGCTTGTTCTTTCAGTGCCTCACTTACATACAGCCTCGAGAGAGTTTCCCTGTTTTCAACAAGCAAAGAAACTCCACTGCACCTCATATGCCTCTCTGTTGTAGCACTCAGACTATTGAATAATGATTGTTTTCTGTCCTGCATTGAACGCTTTGAGGGCCAACGCCTCATATTTGCAGCAGAGTTTCCACCGCCTAGCATTGTCTGGCATGTGATAAGAGGTTCTTGGGTTTTAGGAAGTCATGAATTGTAAGAATTGTAGGTATGCTTTGTTAAAGTGAGGTTGAAATAATAAACACTGGACTCTTACATGACATTCTATAAGAACATTAGGTTCTGAAAAAGAACACATCTGCAGTTTTATATTTTGTTTTCCTTTAGTTAAACACTAACAAAAATTTAAAACTTAAAAAAAAACAACTCTTGCCTACCACTGGTTTTAAAGATTACTTTGGGGCAACAACTACGCGAACGCAATATATCCTTTGTATCTAATTGTTTGAGAGGTGAATTTCTATGCATAATAAATTTACCTTTTGCAAATTATATTTGCATATGATCAGTCACATTTTTCATATTCCAAATGTATTAATATTTTAATTCGCTAAAATCAATAGGAAATAGATTTATCTAGTCTGCTGTAGCAGTGCTAACATGATTTTAAAAAACAACTAAGAGCACTAATTTTGTTGTCAATTTCATATCCTTCTAATTACCTCTTAAATAGGCAGCACTTTTCTCATAGTCATCACTGCTGTTTTCAAATGGCTTGCAAAGAAGAAAACCATTTAAGCTAACTCCTAGATTAGATGAAACTTTATTTGACATTTGTCGGCTGTGGACATGTCCTTTCCAATTCTGAAAAAACAAACTGGAAACTTCTGTGTTTGGAACAAGTAATTTTAATAACTTTAGAGGTTGTTTAAAATGGAACCAATTTTAGGTGTCAGATAAGATGATCCTGATGCACCTATTCACAAAGGTATTGGGCAATAGCATTGGTTGGTGTGTACACAAATCATCACTGTGCCAATTGCTCAGAAAGGAGTCTGAACAGCCAGTGTGCAAGATCTCTGCAGCTGAGGGATAACTCCTTTTTCTTCAGGACTCCAAGATGGGCACTCAATAATGAGTAAAGATACAGGGTAATTATTTTAGGCAAGGTCATATTCATTGAAAGAAAGACAAAAGAGTTTAGAAAGTAGATTGTCATGCAAGAGATGGTTTAGAGGAACAATGGAAAGTAATGTTATGTTAGTATGGTTTATGAAGTAGATGTTCCAGTTTTTAAATATAGATAAAAAGAACGGAAGAATACAAAAATTCTAAGCCGTATCAGAAAGAATTATGGAACTTGAAGAGTATAAAGGACTTTAGAGGTATATCATTTTAGTTCAACTCTTTCATTTTAAAGAGGAGGAAACTCACCTTTAAAAAAGGTTTAATCACTTGACCCAGGTTGCACAGAGTTAGTGAAAATAGTGTCTGTGGGTTCCTGTGATGGGGATGAGGAAGGACATATAAGGGAAGAAAGGAAGTGGGTCTCTTTTCATTCTGATTCAGAAACGCAAATCTTTTAAAAGGGTAAGCAGACCTTTCTAAAAAAACAGCTGGCATCACCTGCAGAGCTGAACCAAAGGCTGTGGTCGGTAGGTAACCAGGCTAGACCAAAAAACATAAAAAATAAAAAAAGCTCTTTGTAAGATTTCTCTTTGTGCATGGATAACCTTCACAAAATAATTTTGTGCTTGCTTTTAAATTACATTGCATGTACCCTAATCACTTCTGGTTGGAAGTGTCCTAAGAGTAACATGGTGTTTATAAAATTGTGTTGTTGGCATTATTTTTAGATCACTCTTCCTCAATTGGCATGAAAAACACTTTCTGTTACTAACTTTGATATGCATACAGCATCACTTAATTTTAATTTTTCTCCTAAGGTATTCCTTTTCTTCATCCTTTTCTTTATTGCATGTTTCTTCAAGAGACAGTCTCCACAATGCTGATTGAGATAGCACATGAATTCCATAAATTTACTTTGAATTCCTAGCTGTTAGCTCACAGGATTTCTACAATTTGACTTATATAATTTTCTTTATAGTCATCCAGTGCTTGAACAATTTAACTCTTTCTTCCTTCTTTTAACCTAGCTGCCTCCCTAAATGCATGCATACATTCTCTCCCCCACCTCCCACAATCATAAAAGCAAGTTTCCAAAATGGAGAGGTATGAAACATGTGAAAGACTTGGAGAAAGCCAGGAGTCACAAATATGTGCAAGTCTACTTCAAATGTGGTATAAAAAGCAAAACAGTGGCACATGCCTATAATCCCAATGCTTTGAGAGGTCAAGGCGAAAGGTTCACTTGAGACCAGGAGTTCAAGACCAGCCTGGGCAACATAGCAAGACCCTGTTTCTACAAAAAATTTAAGAAATTATTTTTAAAATGTGGTATACAGTGATAATGACTTCAGTGATGATGACAGAACAGGGGACTCGCAGGGCCTTTCCTTCCACTGAAAAACAAAAGAAAATGAACAAACAAAAAATCCTAGCAAAACTGTCAGAATCAACTTTGTTGGAACTCTGGAAAATGATCTAAGGTTACAGCAACCAAGAGAATTCTTTTTATTTTATTTTATTTTATTTTTGAGTTGGAATCTCACTCTGTAGCCCAGACTGGAGTGCAGTGGCCACCGCAGCCTCGACCTGCTGGGCTCCGGCGATCCTTCTGCCTCAGCCTTCCAAATAGCCGGAATTACAGGCATGTGCTACCACGCCTGGCTGATTTTTGATTTATTGTAGAGATGAGGTCTCGCCTGCCCAGGCAGGTCTTGAACCCGCAGGCTCAGGCAATCCAGAGAATTCTTAAGCAAGGAAAAGGCCACTGAAACCTGGTAGGAGAGGTTTGTGGTGTTTTATTTATATTTGCCCATCCCCTCCATTCCTGATGACAGTAGTCCGTGCTCTCAGTGTGGGTTCTGGTGCTGCAGGAAGAAGAGCACATTATGTTCTCAAAGAATTATGGCTGCCTGTTTTCACCTGTCATCAGGCAGCTTCCAGAGGGATTAACACAAAGGACTTGACTTTATTTTTCATAACTTAGAACACTCAGGGCACAGAAGTAGCCACACAAAAGGATACACAATATTTAAAAAAAAGGATACACAATATTTTTAAAAAAGGATACACAATATTTAAAAAAAAGGATACACAATATTAAAAAAAAAAAAGGATACACAATATTTTAAAAAAATACACAATATTTAAAGGCAAATGAACCAGCCACTCCTGTCTGAGACAAAGACTGTCAATTAGGGCAAACAATAAACAAACCAAAAATCTTTGGAGAGCAGGCTGGGAAGTGAGGTGCTTGGGGAACAAGGGCTTTGAAAAGTATCCATGGGCCAGGTGCTGTGGCTCAAGCCTGTAATCCCAGCACTTTGGGAGGCCAAGGTGAGAGGATTGCCTGAGCCCAGGGGTTTGAGATCAGTATGGGCAACTTGGCGAGACCTCATCCCTACAATAAGTCAAGAAATTAGCCAGGCGTGGTGGCTTGTGCCTGTAGTTCCAGCTACTTGGAAGGCTGAAGCTGAAGGATTGCCTGAGCCCAGCTGGTTGAGGCTACAGTGATGATGAGCATGCCACTGCACTCCAGCCTGGGCAACAGAGTGAGACTCCAACTAAAAAACTAACAAAAAAAAAAGAAAGAAAGAAAGAAAAAAAAAGTATTCACATATGTCTAGGTATCTAGAAAACCCCACATATGTCTAGGACAGGGCAAATAATCAGAAATGACCCTAAGAAGGCCCTAAATTCTCATCTTTGGCTGAACTTCAGACCCTGTGCAAGCAGAATATGAAACTGTAGACAGAGTTGTAAGCTACTCAATTTAGGGTTAAAGTCCTGCCCCTATACACACAAAGCCTGTTTGCAAGACCGGGAACATTTTTGACTTCTCCTTGCATTTAAGAAAATCTCTGTCAAATCACTAATTGACACTAATAGGACAGAGATTTCATGACAACACATGATAAAGAATACAGTCATTAAAAAGATAGTTTAGAAAAGTCACAAAACAAACAAGCACAACCCCAAACATGCAGCAACAACAAAACTTAGGGGTGGGAGGGCAACCCGATTTCCAGTTACCTTATTATAATATTTAAAATGTCCAATTTTAAACAAAAAGTTAATAGGCAAAAAAAAAAAAAAAGTACACAAGAAAGAAGAGCCTATTCACAGGAAAAGAAAGGTATGAGCACAAACTTCTCTGAGGAATCCTAGACTCAGGATTTACTCAACAAAGATCTTAAATATGCTGAAAAAGCGAAATAAAGTTGTGGCCAAGGAACCAAAGAAATATAGAAAAACAATGTTTCACCATATAAAGAATAACAACAAGGAATCATAAATAATACTAAGAAATCATACAGAAATTCTGGAGCTAAAATACAATACTGAAATTAAAAAATTTACCAGAGAGTTTTAATAGTAGATTTGAATGGGCAGAAAAAAGAATCAAAGAACTTGTATGTAATTCAACTGAAATTATCAATTCTGAGGAGCAGAAACAAACAAACAAAAAAAGAAATAAGAAAAAAGAACAGAGTGTCAGTGACTTTTAAGACACCATTAAGGAAAAGAAAACCACACACACACACACACACACACACACACACACACACACACACACATATATGTGTATACACATCTCAAGAGATGTTATTGATGTATTACTTTCTGAAGTTGAATTCAATTACAGTAGTAATATGTTGTATGATGTTTGCTCAATTGTGCTTCTGTCATTTTCTTTGTCCTGCTTGTCACATGGTAATGATAGCATTCACTTGATTAATACCATTTTTGAGCAAACATCATATTTAAATGTGTATATATTTTTACTTTAAATATGCACACTTTTATAAATATTTAAATGTTCACACATATATTATACATATGAATTACTAGATTTGAATTATCATATATTATAATAATATATACTATGTAGCATATATATATTTGAATTTATTTATATATGTGTGTACACATATATATGAATGCCAGAAGCAGAGGAAACCAAATAAGGGACAGAAGAAATATTTGACAATTAAATGGCTGAAATTTCCCAAATGTGATGAAAGACATAAATCTACATATTTAAAAAGCTCAATAAGTACCAAGTAAGACAAACTGAAAAATCTCTAAACCAAGACATATTATAATCATTATAATCAAACTGTTAAAACCAAAGCAGTAAGAGAGAAGTAACTCATCATATGCAAGGGATCATCAATATAAATAGCAGCTAATTTAAACCATGGAGCCCTTAAGGCAGTGAAATGACTTATTTAAGATGCTGAAAGAAGAAAAAAAATTGATCAAGAATTCCATATTCAATAAAACTATCCTTCAAAAAGGAAGAAAAAGTTCAGACATTTCCAAATAAACAAAAGGTTTATTTTTGTTTATAATATTTTTGTTTGTAAAAGACTGGTCCTATAAGCAATGCTAAAGGAAATTCTCTACATTGATTTGAAAAGACACTAGACAATAATTTGTAGCTATATGAAGAAATCAAAATTATCAGTAAAGGTAACTACATAGATAAATATAAAAAACAGTATTAATGTATATTTCATTTGCAATTCCTCTTCTTTTTTCCAGATAATTTAAAAGACAAATGCATAAAACAATAATTACAAATTGATGTTAAAAGGCACACACAAACAGGGAGAGACAGACATATAAAAATCAGTTTTATATACTATTGAAGCTAAGTTGGTATTAATTCAAACTAGGTTGCTTATCAGTTGAAGGTGGTAACT